CCCCCCCCCCCCCGGGCCTGTCCAGGCATCCCTGGATTCAGCTCACTGCAACGAACATTTTTCCAGGAGATCTTAGTTAACGTAGATAGAGATTTTTAAAAAAAACAACAACAACATAACTTTGGCTTAAATGAGGGTATTTTCTCACGTCTCCGATGTTGTGATTTTATCCTGTCCTGTGGTTCTTTATCCTGTCTGGGATAATAAGACATCGGCCTGATGTGCTCGCGTTTTTTTTCATTTTGGTCAAAGATTCAGTGAGAGACAAAGTCACATATGATTTCTATAAGACGGGAAGATCCGCTCTTCACATCCCCGTTGTGACGTAACATTTCTGCAGCATTTCTTTTTGTTTGTTTTTTTTGTATTTTTTGTTTTATTACACCTCTTAAGTATTTTCGTAAAGTTTTCACCCTAAGAATTATGTATGGGCATTTACAAACTATACGTGAAAAAATAGTACGTATTCATTTTGAAAACGTACACATTGTATTGCATTGGAAGGTCTTGATGGTATGGAAAGCGGGTTGGGCTTTCACAGGGAGGGAGTACCTCAAGCGTGCCGCTCTAATATCCGATTGGAAACGAGCGCTAGTCAGTCGGGCTGTGGTAGGAGGGGAGGGGGGTAGGGAAGGAGTACGTTGGGGAATGAGCTCCGGCTCGACGGTCTGCTGGTTTTCTTTAGATCAGTGGTTCTCACCGTTCCTAATGCCGCGACCCTCTAAAAGAGTTCCTCGTGTTGTGTTGGCCCCCAACCATAAAATTATTTGACTTGATACTTCATAAATCTGTGTTTTCCAGGCGACCCCTGTGTAAGGGTCGTTTGACAGCCAAAAGGAGTCGTGGCCCACTGGTTTAGAACCGTTGCTTAATATATTAGATTAGTTTAGATTGTGTGGTTATACTTCTATATTTCGATTTTCTAAACAAACAGCACACTTAAGATCAACTTGGACTTCTGTGATACAAAACAAAAACAAACAGAGGACTTATGAAACTCGTAAGGATGAAGCAGAACTTGACCCTACCCACCCCCAGCATCTCCATACCCCAGGGGGACACGGACTCCCCCACCCGCCAGATGAGATCCATGTCCGTGGCGGTGCCCACCGCACCCTCCCCTCTGGTCGTCGCCCCTGCCGCGAGCAGACCCCGCACCAACAGTTTGCCGAACCCGGCCTTCTTGCTGGGGTTCAGTGGCTGCAGGGATCCCAGAACCTGCTGCGTGAGCGTCAGGTAAATATGGTGTACATTGGATAAGGCTCGTCTAGATTCCTGATTTATTTCTGTCTTGGGGGGGGGAGGGGGGGGGGGGGGTGGTTTCAGTTTGCTCAGTTTAAAAACACACCAGACTTAAATGTTATGTATTTTCCCCCATTGACGAATGGATTGGTGAAAGTAAACATATTGTATTTCAGTAGATACGCCAATGTTTTAATTGATCTGGTGTGGCAAAGAAGATAATGTTGTTGTTTTTTCTTCTCTATTTAATGAGCAATCCTAGCGACTATCAGAGAGTAAGTATAAAGCACACGGTAGGAGAAAACGTGAAGGGGAAAACATAAGTAAATAAGCACACGGTAGGAGAAAACGTGAAGGGGAAAACATAAGTAAATAATTTTTTGAAAAAGGTGTTGGCAAGAAGCCTTCGTCATGAAACCAAACAGAACCAATAGAGAATTTTTTTAAATGCTAAAAATAACAATACATTTATCTTAGACTATCTTAAATCATTCAAATATATTCATACATTTTACCTAATTTTTATTTTTGAAATGTTTTTTTTTTCTTTTTAAATCCTTGACCTGATCTTAGTCAAACGAGTTGTTTCGATAAAAATAAAATCGTAACAAAGTCCACTATTTGTCCGTACCAGGTCGTTTACTACCACAGCTAAAGGTGTCATCAATGCTGGGGACATCGTGAGGAAAACCAGCGTCAACAGTCTCATGACCTCTGGCAGCACGCGGCAGCTGGACGAGCGGCGGAAGTCTAGTGTCCAGTCCATTTTATCTGAAGGTGAGATATTGCATGTGTATTTATGTCTGCGTCGCATTGTGCGCACTTGATGGTAGGGCAAGGTGCCGAGCACAAAAAGTTTGGGAACGTGCCGAAGTGTATGTAGCATGTTCTCCGCGCCTCCGCTGGTTAGTCCATGTAAGGAGAATGGAAGAAGGCCGTATTCCAAAGGATCTGCTGTATGGAGAGTTGGCAGAATGGGCAAGACTTATTGGACAACCGCGGTTGAAATTTAAGGATGTTTGCAAAAGGAGCTTGAGGGAAGCCAAAATAGAAATCAACGAATGGGAGATCATCGCTGACCATCATTCCAGCTGTCGATCAGTCGTGTATGAAGGGGTCAAAGCGGCAGAAGATGCGAGCATTGAAACCTTGTAACAAAGAGAGCAATATCGGAGGCCCAATTTAACCAGAAGTCAAGTTCCCCCTACGAGAAATGCAGCCGAGACTGCCGTTCCAGGCTCGAACTCGAAAGCCATTTGATGAAGTGTAAATAGCTATTCCATCGTCTTGCGAAAGACAAAAGGATGCTGCCATATATAACTGTTTACTAGTTCGTCATTCGAAATCTCCCATCACCACCTTCATCATCGTATATGCTGATTGTGAACTTGGCTGTGGGTGCGCAGATGGCTGATTAGACAGATTCTGTAATGCAATTTTCTTGTGCAGTAAATACGAGGGGATTGATGGGACATCCGCATGTGCAGAGTTAACATGGTCTTTTCTGACATGTCTGTTTGTGCTCTCTAAATAGCAGGGGGTTGTCAAGAAAGGTTGATCAAACGTGACACTGTAAGGGGGTTTTAAAAAGAAAAGGTTGATCAAACGTGACACTGTAAGGGGGTTGTCAAGAAAGTTTGGTCAAACGTGACACTGTAAGGGGGTTGTCAAGAAAGCTTGATCAAACGTGACACTGTAATGGGGTTGTCAAGAAATGTTGATCAAACGTGACAATGTAAAGGGGTTGTCAAGAAAGGTTGATCAAACGTTACACTGTAAGGGGGTTGTCAAGAAAGGTTGATCAAACGTGACAATGTAAAGGGGTTGTCAAGAAAGCTTGATCAAACGTGACACTGTAAAGGGGTTGTCAAGAAAGCTTGATCAAACGTGACACTGTAATGGGGTTGTCAAGAAAGGTTGATCAAACGAGACACTGTAAGGGGGTTTTCAAGAAAGGTTGATCAAACGTGATACTGTAAGGGGGTCGTCAAGAAAGGTTGATCAAACGTGACACTGTAAGGGGGTCGTCAAGAAAGGTTGATCAAACGTGACACTGTAAGGGGGTTGTCAAGAAAGGTTGATCAAACGTGACACTGTAAGGGGGTCGTCAAGAAAGGTTGATCAAACGTGACACTGTAAGGGGGTCGTCAAGAAAGGTTGATCAAACGTGACACTGTAAGGGGGTCGTCAAGAAAGGTTGATCAAACGTGACACTGTAAAGTAATCGTGTGTAACAGTGGGCACCAGTTGAAATGGTATTGTTGTATTTTATGGAAACCTTCGTTGAAAGAATGTCAGGGCCTCACATTGCGTGATTAGAAATTGATTTCAACAATCATTTTCAAACGATCATTTTTTCAAGCCACCATTTTTTTTCAAACAATCATTTTTTAAATTTTTTTTTTGGGGGGGATGGGGGGTTTGGCGTATTGCCACTGGTTACGTGAGGGCCTAACAGAAAATCTGTAGCTTCTCTTATCACTTCTAGCATGAATTACTTGAAACCAAGTGTAAAATGTACTATTTGCATGTTCAACTTTCAACATATCAAAGCGCGCAGATTAGTCTCTGTTCACCTCGTTGGTCCTACAAAGTAGCGCAATTTCATTTTCTTTTGAAAACCTTTTTTTTTTTTTATTTGTGGCATTCCAATTTTTTTTTTTTTAGAAAATCCCGAAGCTGCCAGCAATCTCTACCGACACAGAACCTTAAATTAGTCTCTGTTCACCTCGTTGGTCCTACAAAGTAGCGCAATTTCATTTTCTTTTGAAAACCTTTTTTTTTTTTATTTGTGGCATTCCAATTTTTTTTTTTTATAGAAAATCCCGGAGCTGCCAGCAATCTCGACCGACACAGAACCTTAAGCCTGGCATCATCAGACAGCTCTTCCAGTTCCGGTTCGCCTCCCGACTCGTCCTCATCAAATCCTAGAACGAGGCCTGCCTCCTACTTTAGGTAAGCTATATATATATATATATATATAAAGTTTCTCATCCATAGGCATGGGTACACAATCTGTCTTTGTGCTCAACACAGACTATTGATATCAACTTACTCCAACCAAGACTAAATTCTTACTCAATTTGCAGTAACATCGAGTCGAATGTAGCAATATTGACGTTTAAAAAAAAAAAATACTGATATCGGCTAATTAAAAAAACAAACCTTATAATTAATGTTAATTTTTCTCTCTATTTTTTTTGAAGGGAACTCTTTAAATAAATCCAAGGATTTTTTTTTTCACCCCTACAGTACAGAACCCTTACTCCCCAGATCTAAGTTTAATAAGAATCCAGATTTTTACAACCCCCTCCCCCAAATTACCTCTTCTGACACAAGGCCACCTCCTTTCCTCGGAGAGCGGGCAACATCGAACGACTATGTTAGCATACATGGTGGTTTAAAAACAATATAATTACATTTTACACCCAAAAACATAAAAACAGAAAAACCACACAACTTTTGTAGGGTTGGGTTGACACAAAAAGACTGGGAGCTTAACTAATATTTTTTTTTTTTGGGGGGGGTATAAAGCTCGCTTGACGTCAGGTTCAAAGGTCAGGAACTGGACGCAGAGGGAGCTCAACCAATGAGATATATATTAATTTTAAAAAAAATATTGTCGAACGTCAGCAGCCAGCTGTCGGCTGCCACATGTCAGTGCTACAAAATAAAAGTGCAATTCATCTATTGCCATTTTGTCAATTCAGAGCTGTGATGATGCACTTTTTATTATTAAAAAAACAACAAAACAGATAGGATCGCCATCATACAGACTTAAAAGTGCCGATGTTTGCAGGGTAGTGGGAGGCTCCACGTTTAACTCTGGTGGATTTGTTTACCCCTTAAATATTTTTAGGCTTAAATTTTTTTTTTTTTATTTCCATCATAAATTGTTGTAGAATTTTTAAGGTGTTACAAATCAGTAAAGATATTTTCGAATGTTCGGTCAATAACCATTGAAGTATTAAGTCATACCCTGGGGTTAAAATCAGGAACCTATCTATGACCTATACTTAGTCCATGAGGGATCAATCTATTACCTGTAATTAGTCTAAGAGGGGATCAATTAATTTAAACATAAATGGTCCAGAATCGATTGGAAAAGTATTATTAAACGTATATATTCTTTTCGCCATAAAAATAGTCTTTTATCCCCCTCTCTCTCTCCTTCTCTCTCTCTCCCTCTCTCTCTTCTCTCTCCCCCAGGGGCGTAGCTAGGGTCATCGGCGCCCGGCGACATGACACAAATTCGGCGCCCCTTCTCGGACCGACAGAGTCTGGGGGCTCAGTGTGAGCCCCCAAGAACATTTTGAAATTTTACGGTTTATATGGTTCATTTTTGAAGTATCTGGTATTTTAATGAAATAGAATACAGACTAATAATGCTCTATGCGATTGTAAACAATTTATTTGAAAAAAAAATATACTCTACTAATTATACATGACTGGTCTACAACCAACTGAGCCTCCTTGATTGGACTGTCGCAAACTCGTCAATGACGTTGTCAACATTAATATTCTCAAGTGTTTCTCTTTCGATGCTAAGAAGTGCAAGATAACCCAGACGATCTTGTCCCATTGAAGCACGTCAATAAGACACAATAAGCTTCAGTTTGCTGGAGGACCGCTCACAGCTTGCAATTGAAACAGCAATTGTTAGAAGTATTTGCAGTGAAATGCGCAGATTCGGAAATACGTCATCGCCATATGAAACAATAAAACCATGAAGATCCAAAGGAGTTTCCGGTAGAACTTCAGTCCGGGTACTGAGCAGCATTTTGCAGTCTCCGATTTCTGTGCACAATTCGTGACCATTGACGTCAGTGTCGCAGAAATTTCCAAAATCGAAGCAATTTTGACGAAGTGTATCTACATTTGTCTCAGCGAGAAGAGTTTTGACGTCTAGTAGAAATCCAAATTTGGTGTTTTGCATTTGTAGACGTAAAAACCTGATCCTGTTGGAGTCTATC